TAAAACTTGACGCTAATAAAAGATTTGAAAATACAAGTCGTGAAACTGCATGTGTAAAATTTTTTGAGTTTTAATATGTACATTTGATTGTTGCACTTTTATTCATTCATAAAATTAGATAGAAAATTTTCTATCCAAACGCAGGTAAGAGATGCACGCCTGGAATGTATGTAAATGGAGTTTTATCAAACAACTGATTACATGATTCTACGATTGCATCGATTATTGGAAGATATAATCATATATTTATTTTTAATTTTTTATTGTTTGACGAATGTAAATTCTTTTTACATACATGATTCTATATTTATACAAATATTTGTCAAGTTGTTTTTATGTTTCACGCAACACACTCATTTATTACATAGGATCTCATGATTTTCTATACAAACTTGCTCTGAGTATCTTAAAACTGAGAACAAAAATTTAAAAAGTGAATACTGTATCAAAAATTTATAAAAATATATATACAGTACGATTCTACCACAATTTTTCTAAACAGTAAATGGATCACATTATCAATGAGTAGCATTAATATTGTGTTCATTATAAAGAAAATCTAAGGGCGGAGGTGGGAGTAACTATTACTGTTAATCTACATATAATTTTATTTTTAGATATAAAACACACTGATAAAATTCATATAGGAGTCTGTGCAAACCAGTTAAAAAACATGCTGCCTATATTCGTTAGCCTACTCAATTCTATTATAAAAGCATAAAATCTGCTGTCTACTGACCGTGTTTTCCTCTGACATTTCTCCTGATTATTAAGTATAAGTGAGATATTTAACTTATGTATGACTCTCGTGTGATCAATGTATATCTTTTTATAATAATAACAAGATTGGATTTACTTAAATTTTATACGATTTCTGTCATATTTTCTATATTCTATCATATTAACATTTCTACAATTTGAGTAATTGTGGAAGACGAAATCAGAAACCAGTCAATTTGACTTGGTATAGCATTGGTAGTTCTAGTGTTAAAGTGTTTAAGTATTATATAAAGGAGAGAATCATATCTTGGTGCGTATTACTTTAACGATATAAATCTTCAGAATGAAGATACTCTTATTGGAAGATATAATCATATATTTATTTTTAATTTTTTATTGTTTAACGAATGTAAATTCTTTTTACATACATGATTCTATATTTATACAAATATTTGTCAAGTTGTTTTTATGTTTCACGCAACACACTCATTTATTACATAGGATCTCATGATTTTCTATACAAACTTGCTCTGAGTATCAAATTTATAAAAATATATATACAGTACGATTCTACCATAATTTTTCTAAACAGTAAATGGATCACATTATCAATGAGTAGCATTAATATTGTGTTCATAGAGAATGAAGATAGTATATTTAATTCGCACGGCGTTTGGTCAAGAGGTTGTGTGAATTAAGTATACACACAGTCATGGATTCGATTTTATGCTCTATAAAACTACCTGGATCAATTTCTTTCTAATATAACAGTGAATGTGTCGAGCATTCTGCAGGTTGAATACAATTGGACTGAATGAGTGTACCACACATACATACGCGTAATCCTTGCATCATCATGAGATGCCATCGTGAGGTTAATAAGTGGAATAAAATTACATTAACAAGTTAATTCTATACATTTTCTGACACTTTCTTTTCTTCGAAAGTTCTTTTAGATTTGAAACGGTTACGAAGTGATAGGAAAATTGGAGGCGAAGGACAATAAGATCTCCTCTAATGGTACCGCTTAAATGTTGAGTCCTCGGTTCTCAATGCTCCGACGATGTCTTGGAAATGTTAATTGTTGAGGTTGAAACTAGGAACGAGGTCTTGAAGCGAGGTTGACTTTTTCGGGGAAGATCGATGATCTTCAGGGAATGGGGATCGATTCTTTTTGGTTCTACCAAAAATTCAGGATGGAGGACGGTCAAATCTAATCATTTGAACTTATAGACGTAGGTTGCGGATCTTTATGTATTTACAATATAATATGTGAACATTTAATATGTGTATCTTTATAGAACATCTTATCCTAGAAATGGAATGAAAATGTCATCGATGTCTGATCGAATATGATTATTTTCTTGTATTTTGAAAATATATAAATGCTATAAATACATAGTGATCTGTGCAGTCTAGTAGTAATAATCTAGTAGTAACAATGGAATAATGCAGTCTAATAGTAATAGTTTCATTTGATTAATGTCTCATTTGTTTACCGATTGTTAGAAAAACTCGGAGCATACCGCTGCTTAGGATCTGTCGATAGTTTACATTTTTCGATGCTTACGTCCAGAGGATCTCGAGGGTCCTGTGTAGAATTAATGTTTATTAGATTCTGTGAAGATTCGGAAACTGTTATTATCGGTTTCTTACCTATGAGGCTCAATAATACAGGTAAAAGTATCAGACCGTGCGCCGCGCCGAACAATACAATGCCAAAGTACATTCGGAAATAAAATACTTGGAAGATTTGAGTCTTCGGGAATGCTAATACGATGATTCCTATGATTTTTGTCAAAGTAATGCCTGAAAATACCTGTGAACACAATGGAAACGAATCTTTGCTTATTTGGGGCACATTTTATACATTTCATACGGGTTGTCATGACCTTAGAAAGTTATTTTACATGCTAAAATAACGTGAGAATTAGCATTCATTTTACTAGCAATTAGAGATTGTGGTTCTAACTTCGTTTTCAAGACGCTAATAATTCAAAGTATGAATTATTGCGAGACTATTCGTTAATAGCGCACGTACCGAGTCAGTTTTCTTTTTTACCAAATCAATGTTCTATTACTAGTAAATGTGTAAAATATTTGTTTAAGAATTACTTTCTTTGAAAATCGTTTTGCCTTGCTAGTAGAATGATTAGATTACGAATCATTGCAAGAAGCAGATAATATGCAATATAATAATAAGATAACAAACGATAATTGAAATTGATTGAAATCTTGGCATTTTTAATTTTATTTGATGTACTTATCATTCTCAATTACAAATTCGCAATTTTATCATAAATGCATAAAATCCGCAGTCTAATAATATGATCACGACTGCTATAGGAGACCTTGTATAAATATACAAATAGAGATATGCACTTACAGAACTTCCCACTTCGTTAAGTGTCTCTTTGGCACGATCGACGCTCGTACTTGCTTTGGAATGTAAATAGTAATGAATAATGTGACTGCAAAATTCGACGGAAATACCAACAGCCTGAGAACAGAAATTCACGTCGATTATCCACAATTTGTTGAACGTATCGATGCAAAATTTGCGAAGAAGTTATAGGCGAAAAGTGTTAATACTGTGTCGTGTAGAGCGTACATGCTTACGTACCATTACTAGATTGACAAGAGATACCGCGTTTAATTCAATCTGCCACCAATACATAAGACCGCCCATGTTTACGATAATCATGAGCACAATCAGCACCACCATTATTGCCGAAAATAAGGAGAATCCTGTCAAAAGTGCAGTGACCAAAAAGATGACGCAAAGCGAGAAACCCAAAGATGATAGAGCTTCCTTCCAGATTGTGAGATATTGCTCGTAATAGACGTAGAATACACTGAAAATTGAAAACATATCATATAATAATGATAATACGACAGGGAGACAGAACGAAAAAGCATAGCTATCCAACATAATTTAACACAACTTTGTTCTTTAGTTTTGAAATACTAGGAGTAAAGATTTTATAATTATATTTTATACGTTTCTTAGTAAAGTATTTTTAACAGGGACCAAAAGTAACAATTATTTGAGACTATTGAGTCATAAATAACTTCCGTTTTTTATGAGACATTTATTTTGCTTTCTTTTTATCTATATTTTTTTGTTTTTTCTTTTCATTTCATTTATTTGGAACCCTTATCTATTTAGTGAAAACAAAAACTCGTTTATTCCGGTGACTCATAGTGAGTAGATGCGAACAATAAACTCTACCTAGCTGCATCGGAAGAAATAGTTACATCAAATTCTATTCCTTCTTTTAATTGTGTTAATAGAGTGAACGCAATGTACCAGTATTTAAAAATTTGTCTTTCGTCTTCACTGTTTTGTGATTCCTTTATCAATTTTTGCTATAAATTCATAACACCCGCAATCCAATGACGAGTGATCAAAATAGAATTTCTCCCTCTGATAATTGTTGTAAATAGATTAAGGATTTTGATCGAAGCAAGAACGTCCTCTGTCACACTTGTAAGAAATGAAAATAAGTCGAAAATAGTGTACAAATGTTCTTACATTCATCTAATGACTTCACGGTTTTGTATTTCATTTGTTTATTTTCGTCATAAAAGCATAAAAATTCCACAGTCACGTTCTAAGCAACGGGAATAAATTTTCGTTACGGACAACTGTTATTAAGCAACCCAAAGAAATTTTCCTCGTCTATAACTGTTATAAGTAACCGAAATAGCGTTCCTAAACGAATCTTCTTCATTTATGATCGTAGACAACGAAAGAAAAATTTTGATCACACGTGACTTTTATTTATAACTGAACCGCAGATCTCTTTATGCAAATCCCCATTTTCATAGATTATTTCATGACGTAGAACAAATCGTGGTAAGAATAAGAGCAATGTCATTAACATTCGTTAATGTGCACGTCTTTTGGCAGTTCGAAACTGTGTAAATACCATAAGCACACAAAAATCTGTAGTCTATTTATAACTAATGATATTTGAATCAAAATAATAATTGTTACGCTATGACTGTTTTCATATCGATTATAACTGTTTCTTTGGTCCTTGGTTTTCTGCTAATCGATCTTTACGCAAGGAACAATGAAACGCGTGGAACCCACCTGTATGGAAACACAGTTATCTCCTGATTCGTCAGGTTTTTCTCGTTAATCATCGTTGTGATCTGATCTGCTATAAGTCTGGCGGATTTCAAAGCTTCGTACCAATCCGAGGACTTCTTTAACGGAGTATGATAACCCATGAAATAAGTATCGCCGATATCTATCGAACCATTCTTGTCATAGTAATAATCCATTGCCTGAAAGATTATCATTGGAATATCGTTGCAACCCCTACCACTTGCATATGAGAATATGCAGACGGGGTACTGGGATGAAGTTCTTGGAGAAACTATTTGATTGAAAATATTAAAAGTGGAAATCTTACCTCTAAATACGAGGGCCTACCAGCCTTTATGCACGTAGTGTCTGGTATGTCTTGCAGAAAGTATGTTAGGTATTTTTGAAAATGATCTGGGGTCGGTCGAGAATCGCTTAACGTGATGTTACATTTACTGCAGTCAGTTTCTCCTGAAAGAAATATGAAATACGCAAATAGAGAGTAATCTGATGAAACATAAATATAAATAAATATATGGCTATTTTTAGAATTTATCGTTCGAATAATATTGAAAATTTTTTAGTTATGACCACGAAGTTATATAGCAAGATTCTGCATCATCGTTATTGTCATAATTAGATTGCGGATCTTTATGCAAAATAAAAGTTGTCTTCATTAATTTAAAGGAACATATATTGAATAGAAGTTTATTGTTCCTGTTAATAATTTTAAACATTTAATACTAATACAGCTATGTTCTGTGATATTCTCTGTGAATGGTTTCACTAATTTTGTCTTTTACATATTTATGATTTATAGTCGTAATCTACAAACAATCGGAGATTGGGAGATTTACCTTTGGTGTGTGGACAAAAAGATTGATTGTTTTTAAAGTACATGCAACATTCTGGACTGACAGACCAATCGATGTAATCGTCTATCCAAGATGAAGCCGCCTTCGATAAATATGATCTGTAACGGATGAAAACGATAAACGGATGTTGTACTGTGAATCATATTAGAGGAAATTGCTAAATGTAGTCTCTCTAAATAAACTCGTCATTTAAGTCGTGTCTTGTGAATTAATTCGTTATCGTTTATAGATGATATACCTGGCGAGTTTTGTAACATGACGACATGAAATAAATCATAAAATATTTGTTGTACGAAAATATGTGTTTCGGATAGAAGTTGCATGGCTTCCAGGGAGGCATATTAATATTGTCATCGGTTTTATGTTATTTTGCTTCTTTTTTATCAAGATATAAAGGTCACCTTCAATTTTTTAAATAGAATAGTTGATATCTCTCTCTTTTCTCGAATTCGGATAAAGCGTTGAATTCTATATAAAAAAGTATTACACCATATAGGGTCTAAAATAGTTGCAAAAGAAAATGTAATCTAAGACCATCTGGTGGCTGGTAAAGCTAAAATCAATAAATACATACATATATGTACATCGTTATATTAACCCTTTGCAGTCGAAGCTGTTTGAATTCGAAATCCAAAACATGATTTCTGACCTACAGTATTTCTATTTTATATAATTTATTGCGATTCATGCATATAGAGTTGAGCCTATTGACAAGTACAACGAAATTTTAACAATTTTCTTTGAAATATAAACGAGTCCGATGCTCTAAAAATGCTTTTGAAAAATAGTATACCAATTTCTATTGGCGCCTCAGAGTCGCCACTCGAGTGCAGAGGGTTAAAGAAGTCGCAATATGATGTATGTTATTATCTGCTTAAATCGTACATTTTAGAGATTTTGAAAATGCGCAGAAGAGTGTGTAAATAATATATTTTCTTGAAACATTAGAACAAGATGTCTTGCTATAATTCGATCCATGTATGTAGATACTTTCTACAAAAAATGCATGCCTTTCTCGAGGGCCTAAGATTTCTTGGTGGCACTACATTGACAACAATTTTCCCCTCAGCTGCCTGCAAATGTTGCAAACATGACAAAGTAAACACGTACCTATTGGATTGTTTCGCTGCCGAGTATATCTGCGTGTACATAGAATCGTCATTGCATCTTTGGCTTCCACAAATTATATTTTGTACGTCCCTGTTACTATAATTGAGGCCAGGAGTGATCACAAAGTAAACTGGTGGACCCATCGACAAGAGGTCCTGCATATACTGGAAGCATTAGTTAATTATACATCATCGTCCTCGCGTTAACAATGTGAACATCGTTTGTGATACTCGCTCTCTATCTCTATACCTCGAAATATTTCAAAACGTAAGAATCCATTGGCATTGAAAGCTTCTGCTCCAAACCAATGCCAATTCTTGGCAGTACTGCAGCATGTGTTACCAACATGACGAAGAAAAAGAGCAGCACGATTATTCTGACCGGCTTCTTCATGATGAATGGCGTGTAAAACCGTTTGAATATCGTTTGCACGAAACTATAGTTCTCGTCGACTTTACAATCCTCGTCACTTTTCACTTTAACGCAACAAAGCACGTCCAAATAATTGTTCTGAAATATCGGACACTTTTGTTAGGCAACCGCGTTATCTTCGTTAGAGGCTGACGTTAACACAGTGATCAAGAGCCCTCTCTAAAAGTATTAGGATACCTGCTTATTTAGTATAAATTGTAACATTCCCTTTAGTTCAGGTAACGTCTGCGAGCCTGCAACATGGCATCGCGTTGTCAACAGCCGCTTATGCAATTAGTTTACCTATTTATTGCATTTTATTCAGCGAAATCGTATCCAGGGTACATATTATACTACGATAGAAAAGAATGGCAAAACCAATAAAACGGATGCCGAAATTAGTCCAAGTTTGCTTATTAAAGCAATTTTAATTTTCTTTCATAAAATTGACGTTACTTTTATTATAACGTAAAACATATTTATGTACTTGTTACAATTTAATATAATTAACTTTGAAATAAATGAAAAAAAATTATAACAATTTCATGTCGGATTTTCATATTTATCTAATTTCCTGTAAGTATCCTAATACTTTTGGAGGGGGTGTAAGTCCGTGAAAACGTAAACTATAGATTTCAGATTTTAGCAGTTAACGTTTTTAGTTCGTGTTTTTAAATGTTTTTAGCGAATGTTTTCAATTTCAAATTTCAGTAAATGCTTTTAGTTTCAGTGTATAGTGAACGTTTTTACAGTGTCACAAATCATTGCGTGTTAGCGTTAAAATGTCATGCCTGTAATCTTTTAGCATCCAACGATAAAAGGCTGACGAATGCTGTCGTTTGTAACAGGAAGTTGAAGAAAATGGACAGCGAAGCGTAAAGAGCAAATGTGTTCACTGCTGGCATGGAGGACAATGTTCCTGCGAGAACGATTAATTATTAATCGGATACATAATAAAACTGATAGGCGTGATCATTCGTTAATTAGAATGACAATACAAACCGATCAAAAAGCAGAGACACTCGGATGCACTGGTTAGCAGCATCGACGGACCAACCTTGGCCAAAATGTCTGCTACGTGCTCTGGTATTGTTTGCTCGGCGTGTTTAGGGTGTCTCTCGTGTGTTTGAACCAATATGAAAATATTGTCTACGCCTATGGCTAATACCAAAAACGGAATCACCTGCAAAAAACGAACAATTCATTGCTGCATCGCTGTACCATTTGTTGTCCTGACGAGGGACAGATCGAAGCGATATTCGATAATTTTTATGAAAAACTTTAGCAGCCCTTTTTTCAATATTTTTCGCTTAACTTTGTCAAAGCGTGGCGAAGGCTATTTTTGAATGTACTATTTAAACAAATTAGGCCGTTCCACGAGTTGCGTTTAAGAAACGGTTTCGGCATGTTTCACGGTGTCCCGCTGAACGAACAAAAGTCAGGAATTCGAATTGTCAAATCTCATAATTTTTCTACCGCGTAAAATATTAGTAACTGAACGTAGTTTCTAATATTACCCATAACTTCTACTGAACATAACAATTCCTTGTTAAAATTGTCACCTAACGTTTATGAACGAATACAATGCACTACTTCAAATTCGTGTCATTGGCGGAACACTCGATTCTTTACTTTGATTTTGCATAGATTGTCTTTAACACTGCGGTACCTACTTTTAAAACTGGTAAGTGATATCAATACAATAATAACAAGTTATCTTAATTGTTCGTATAGAAGGTCATTAAATTCGATGCAATTTTGAAAAAAAGTATCTCTGCGACTTTTAGACTTATTAAACTTTACGTTGAGCAAGTTTAAGAATGTAGTTTATCAAGCAAAAATAAAGGAGTTTACAATATTTTTCACGGAATCGTATATTTTTTTTCGTGCAAATCAATGCATCGGCGATGCACAATCGATTACTTTAGAAGGTACGATTTTCTTTTTCTTTATGCATTTTTCTCCAGGAAACTATTGCACTTGTTCATTCAGCGCTGGACAGTGTAAAATGATGTCGATCTATTCGGCACGTTCGGAAATATTTTCGAGCAAACTGTATTCTATCAAGGTTTATGAAAAATTCGGATTGATTATTTTCAACTATGTTTTCTATTTACCTCTATCGTGAGCAACGTCGTTGGTACACCGATGTAGCCAAATACGCCGAGAGAACAAGCCACGGATGCCATTACTATCACGATCCCACCGATACTCAACATTATTTTGCTGGTCAACTGAAATTACAAGAATAACGAAACGATGCACGCAGGCACAAATAAATCATTTGGTAGAAGTGCTGTTCAGAGGGCCCGTTTACAATGAGTTAGATCTTCACGTCATCCTCCTAACTGACTTTCAGAAGTTATTAGCCGCGCTGCTCGGTGTGTTCATTAAAACTACTGTATTCATGATTCGTGGGAAAAGCGAGATGAAAATGTTGGCAGGGTTAAATCTGCATCTAACTTTGCAGTTTTTTTTTTTTTTAGACACAATCTTCTGTAAAATGTGTTAACGTCGTTTATCTTTGCCGAGGTACAGTAAACATAACTGACTCTCAGCTTGTAAATAAAAATGGATAATTTGGAAAGAGGAGATACGATTATTCGAGCTTGTTTTTATAGTTACCAATTGTTAACGACTGTACAAATGAACTGCAAGGCTCGAATAATGATCTCCCCTTTCCAAATGGTCGATTTTTGTGTACAGTCAGAGCGTCAATTAGGAAGAATTTACCGTAGTGGTTATCGGAGGTGGGTCCTCAAAATAGCATTTTTACCAATTATTGTTCGAAGAGAGACGATTAGCTTACGAAACATCTTTTGATGGAACACTGTATTCTACCCAGAGCTATGGCTATGTAAATGAACATTATTATGTAGCTCAAGACCACTGTCATCGCTTCCGCTTTCGAAGATCGTTCCAACTCATCTTGGATCGATCTCTCGGTCGAGTACGCGACGTCCATGAAATCCGGTCGCTCTTTAGCATCCCATTCCTTCATGAAGTCAAGAAACCTGAATCGTGTTTAATTCTTCGTTAGAATTTCTTCTGTTTCGTTTGCTGTTTACGGTTCTTAACCGTTCGTAGTTCTCTGTCGACCCAGTTGGTTCGACATCGATTTTTGCGCTAATGGTTACACATTTTTTTCCGATTTACATTATATTCGTGATTAAGCAACGGATTTTTATGCAGAAAAAAAATGGTCTGCACCAATTGCAAGGGATAAACATAAAATAGCAAGTTCTTTCTTTTCTGTAATCATTTTATAGCTGAAAAATAATGCATTGACATTTTGAAATTCTTTTGATCAATCTACCATTTGAAATTGCAGCTACTCAATTTCGTCGTAAATGCATAAAATTCGCAGTCTGTTCATGATCGGTGTCACAATCTAGCGGCATGTTAAAACAATTGTAGTGGAGAGCGGGGTAAATTGTAATATAAGATTTTCTAATTGAAAAAAATTGCAATGCAGCATTATATACAGTTCTCACACGACAAGAGAAGGCACCTTTGTGTTTACGTTTCCCCGCTTACTAGCTGTCCCACTGCCGCAGCCACTAGGAGGGGGAATGTAAACACAAAGATGCCTTCTTGTCGCGTGAGGACTATACAAACGACTCGATCGCATCCCTAGTATCGATGTTAATTTTAACAATTCTGCATAACATGTTCTTCTTTAACGTTATTTTTATAACAACGTAAAACATATTTATGTACTTGTTACAATTTAACATAATTAACTTTGAAGTCAATTAAAGAAATTATAACAATTTCCTGTCGGGTTGTCATATTTATTTAATGTTCTGCAAGCGTCCTAATACTTTTGGAGAGGGAACATTGTTAGGAACATTGTTAGGAATTGAAGTTCTGAGAATGACACGGTACGCGTGTTACCTCTGTTCCCATTTTTCTGTGGCCTCGAGCACAGTTTTGTCCAGCGAGTTTGTCACCATGATTGATATAACCAATCCTGTCGCTTTGATGTAGTCGTCAGCGTCATAGTTAAACTCGCCGTCACGGAGGAAACCTCCGAAAGCTATGGCTGGCAGTATCGGTCCCCCGTAAGGTGCCACACAGTCTGCATTGAATGGATTCCTTTCAAAACAAAAACATATACTCTCGATTTTAAATTCCTCCGTTTTTCTTCAACTAAATACATGCGAATAAATTATCCGATCAACGAAACTTAGTTAACAACACAGTGCTTTCAACCCTTATCCGTTCCTTACGTTCTGAGATTAGAAACATTAAATATACAGAGCCAATTATCCTAACTAATTGGGACCGAGAAAGTTCGACAAATCGCACTCAAAATTACTTATTGTATACAAGAGTATTACCGCTGTAATTTAAAATATGATATTATACGCACACATTGAAAATGGTATATGCGTGTATGTACATATAATATACCATACGTAGTAATTTTACATATACTATATATTAACGAAATTTATATCTTTAAATGATGTTTAATTCTTATTTGGATCATGGAAGGCTGTTTGATGCAAATAGCGATGACGAAACACTGATTCCAATAATCAACGTTCCGGATAATTGTGATTCAGATAATTGAAACTCTAATGTACATGTAATTTTTCAGTGTGAACAATAATATATTTTCGAAGAAAACAAGGAATGAATCTCTACTTAAGTTTAGTGGGATAGTTTTTTTTTCATTTTACATGCTTATTTATTTGATTCTGTTTATTCATTTATTTTGTCCTGTGATAAATATTATAACTTATATTACTGTATCTGGTTGTAAATTTAAATTATTTGTTTCTGGTTGTAATTTTATTGTTATATACAACAGGGATAGCTTAATAACGCCGAGAACGTTAAAATAGCGGTTACTTACTGCGAACACTGGTACAATTGATACAAATAATCGTCCCCTTCGAGAACCTTGTAGATATCATTTTGGAAATATCCCCAAATGCTCTGTATGGTGCAGTGATTTACAGTAGTGGGACCGGTAAAATCATTTCGAATTGGAGCGCTACAGAAGTGCTCCAAACCTTCTCCTTCCTCTTGTCCAAGCTGCAAAAGAGTTCCAGAGTCTTCAAAAGTTTTTCTTAAAAGAGGAGATCGCGTTCCAGCCCCGCGGAAAGAAAAAGTAGCGAAAACTTACTTCAAGAATTTTGCTTTGTAGCTTGTACACCTCCAGTAAAAATGTTTTATTAAAGACGGGACCGAATTCTAGGGTACCAGTCGAGCTGTTGTATAGCACCTACATTGGATAAAGGAAATAGATTATGCAACCTTCGAACTTGAAAAGGTGTACGTAAATGTACAGAATAGGCTTCTGCCTAGGGAAATATGGAGTTGGAGAACAAGTTTCCAGCTTCATTTTCACTTTTATCTCGTCTAAATATCTTAAGTAATACCTCAGAAAATAAGAAGTAAAATTCAGGCTTTTCAATCCCATATTTCCCTTAAACAGAAGGGTAGGAGTCTGCAATTTTGCAGAACAATATCATAGGCAAAAGACATTGTTTAGCATACAAAAAACTGAAAAATGGCATGGTTGCCGATTATCTATGCTTATCCTGCAACAACCTTTACATACCAAGTAAAAGAGAAATAATATTCTTGCTACAGCATCTAACTTTCCAATCGTTTTAAATATTGCGGAAGTACAGTGAATTCTCTCCAATTGTCCCTCAACTTGTAANACCGAATTCTAGGGTACCAGTCGAGCTGTTGTATAGCACCTACATTGGATAAAGGAAATAGATTATGCAACCTTCGAACTTGAAAAGGTGTACGTAAATGTACAGAATAGGCTTCTGCCTAGGGAAATATGGAGTTGGAGAACAAGTTTCCAGCTTCATTTTCACTTTTATCTCGTCTAAATATCTTAAGTAATACCTCAGAAAATAAGAAGTAAAATTCAGGCTTTTCAATCCCATATTTCCCTTAAACAGAAGGGTAGGAGTCTGCAATTTTGCAGAACAATATCATAGGCAAAAGACATTGTTTAGCATACAAAAAACTGAAAAATGGCATGGTTGCCGATTATCTATGCTTATCCTGCAACAACCTTTACATACCAAGTAAAAGAGAAATAATATTCTTGCTACAGCATCTAACTTTCCAATCGTTTTAAATATTGCGGAAGTACAGTGAATTCTCTCCAATTGTCCCTCAACTTGTAAACAAAAATGGACAATTTGGGAAGAGGAGATACGATTATTCGACCCTTTGTGGCTCGTTTTTATAGTCGTCGATTGCCAACAACTAGAAAAACGAGCTGCGAAGAATCGAATAATCGTGTCTCCTCTTCCCAAATTGTCCATTTTCGTTTACAAACTAAGGGACAATTGGGGAGGATTTACTATTATTCCATTTCGAAATGAGACAATCTATTCACCTTGTCGATTCCTACAGACTTGATGTAAATTTGCTCGGTTCTGTAAAACGGTTGAAAACGAGAATCGAAGTAATCTTTCTCGACTCTTGCTCTGCTGGTGGGCGCAGCCCAAATTTCGATGGGGTCGCTGACCACGATCAGTTGTGTAATTCCGTAGCTTAGGCCCAGTACCACGTACGAAGAAATGAAAAGTGTCAGCGTTGGATACGTTGCGAAAACTGCAATGTTTCATGTAAAAAGTGTCAAGAACGACGCGTGATCATTGTTAGAAAATAATCGAAAATTTTTAAGTCATGAGAACTGTCCGGAAAACAATGTAATACCTCTGCCACAGACAGTGAACAGGTCTTGGAACAGCTTCTGGATATTTCCACGACAGATCCCTTCCGAATCTTCTTCGGGCGAATCTACGACTAACAACGGTATGTATTACAGATCGATGGACTTACATGATGAAAGAAATTCTTCATTATTCAATCGCAGAGTTTATAGATATATAGAAAAATGAGCGAATTTTCGAACAGTGGACAAATTAAAAGAACTTAAGGATACGGATCTTACAACTCGAACCGTTACTTACAACTTGGTCGAATTACTAAACAGACATATAAATTCCTGTGTAGGTCTTGTGTCTTGAAATTGATCTATAAACAATTTTTATTTTTCACAAAGATCTGCGGTCTATTTAATATTTCGAATCTTTATAATCTCTAAAATAACTTCATCAAAATGCTTTATAAGAATCTTTATAGGTTTTGCACTTCGAATTATCCAGTCCAAATTAATCCTTTTATGGATCATATTCACCATTTTTCTTTTCACATTTCTGCCAATCGAAATCCTTTTGCGAATCGAATTTGGAAATTGAATTCACTTATCTGCAATTATTTGTAATAAAAACCATATTAAGTATGAAATTCTGTAAGAGACGATCAATATTAATCTGTGAAGGGTTAATTTTATTAGCAGAAACAAGGAATTTGCTTCGCAAAAGAATGAACAAGACCTGCAAAATGGTTAATTTGATTTGCAAAAATTTAAATATGATCTGAAGAGGAATTAATTTGGAGTGCTAAAAGGAATATGATTTGCATGGGATTAATATTCAGTGCAAAATATGTAGTATTATATAATGAAGAATTCGTTTTCGTATAAAAATATTGCATATTTTATGTATTGATACCTGAACGTCTACAACATCTTCTGACAATCATGTAGGAGATCACAGCTGCCAAAACGTAAAGAATGCTAAAAATTGCTGCTACCACTCCGTAACCTTCGACAGCGAAAATGAGAAAATTAGGCTTGTCAAGGTTTACTGTGTAATTGCAACCCGCCGGACAGTCGGTACAGCTACATGCTGACAAACCCTGCATCAATTTGTGAAATATAACA